TGAAAAAACTTCCTGGATGGAAATCGAAACTTCTTCCAAACTTGGAAACAAAGTCCAGTGGATTGTTTTTAACTTTTTTGGAATGACTCTGACCTGGATGACTGAGAATCTTCAGCATCAAGTAAATGTACTTCGTTAGTGTTCAGCACTGGTTATTGTCATCATAGGTTTACTTTAACTATGAGAGACAAAAAAAGAAAAATAATCCAGGAAGTCATATTGTAGAATCTTATTTATTATTATTTATTTGTGAACTGTTATGGAATAAAAGGTAGTTAGTCAATAACAAAAAGGTGAGATGTCTCTTCCTCATAGACCTGTAACTTTATCTTTAAGAAGCTCCTCTCTTCCACTCATTACCTGTATTATTGGCACCTGTTTGAACTCATTATCTGTATAACAGAAACCTGTCCACAGCCTCAACAGTCAGACCTTAAACTCAGCCATGGCAAAGACCAAAGAAGGACACCAGGGAGAAAAACATAGACCTGCATTAGGCTGGGGAGAGGGTCTACAATAGGAAACAGGCTGGTGTGAAGAAATCAACAATGGAAGAAAATTGAAAATAAGACTACTGATAATCTCCCTCCATCTGGGACCACATGGAAGATTTCCTGTGAGGTCAAAATGATCCTGATGAAGCTGCAGAGAGCAGGAACGAAAGGAACAAAGGCTACCATCAGTAACACCCTACGACCCGAGGACTGTAGTCCTGCAGAGCCAGGTGTCTCCCTGCTTGACCAGTACAGGTTCAGGCCCGCCTGAAGTTCACCAAGAGACCAGATGGGTGATCCAGAAGAGGACTGGGAGAGCATTATGTGGTCAGATGGGATAAAGATAGAACTATATTGCATAGACTCATCAACATTTGGAGAAAGAAGAACACTGAGCTTCATTATAACTACTATGAAGCATGGAGGTGGAAGCATCATGCTTTGGGGCTTTTTTCTGCAAAATGGACTGATCCGTGTTAAGTGAAGAACAAACAGAGCCATGTATGGTGACATTTTAAGCCCAAACCTCCTTCATCAGTGAGAGCATTGAAGATGGAACATGGCTGGGTCGACCAGCAGGACAAGGATCCCAAACACAGCAGTCAGGCAAAGAAAGAGAGGCTCAGTTAAAAGCATTTCAAGGTCCTGGAGCGGCCTAGCCAGTCTCCAGACAACAATCCCATTGATCAAGTTCTTATTTTACTAGATAGAACTGAGATGCTGCCCAACAGCAGCACCTGGAGAGAGCGGAGGGAGGGTCACTGAACTTTAAAATCTCAACTTTTTTAAGAAANCACTGAACTTTAAAATCTCAACTTTTTTAAGAAATTCCATTATGGCAACCAATCCCGGACTGGTTTGCAGTTGTGATGTAGATTAAATAAGTGCAGCCGAGGCAAAGCTTTTTTTAAGTTAAAATGAAACGCAGAGGAAATGATTTTGACAAAGGATGAAATGAGGAATGCTGAAGCTCCTCCTCCTCTTTGATGACATGGTCCAGGGTGTAAACGCTGTGCATCTGAGATGCAGGGAGGTGAAGTATCTGTTAGTATCTGATTTGTTGACATCCCGATTCCTCTTTAGACCAATAACCTTGAAAAGAGCAAAGTTAGCCCCTCTGCTGACTTTGCTAAGTCAGGCTAACAGGGGAAACAAATTCAAGCCGTGATAGATTATTGAGAGTGAAATAATTGTTTAATCAATTATTAATGTCCACTAAAAATGTGACAGATTTTTATAGAGCTGACTGATTTGTTAGCTGCTGAATTGTGGAGGGTAGAAATAAGACCAGCAGGAATAATTTCTAACTCCTAAAGTGGAGG